CATCTCGTGGAGCTAGTTGACCTTCAATTGCAACATGAAGTGTTATCTATATACTTTGTCGCAAACGTGTTGTAAGCCCCGTACTTTATCTCTATAGCTATATCCAATCCACAATATTTACATACGCATTATTTCCATAATCAATAAATTCTGGTCGTAAGCTATTTATATACGATTCCAAACTTGGAAATGCTTATCTTAGGGCATAAGTTGCAAGTACTTTTGGGCAACTTGAAAATGGACACTTGTCTTGACTTGTTACTTCCCTTGCTCGTCTTATTTGAAATTTTGAGCACTCCATGTTGTCGATGGTCTGAAGTTTTGTGATTAAGTACAACAAAGTTCGAAAATCGGCATTCATAATTCTGTCATAACATCAAGTATGCTGTGGGCAATACATCAATGAATCCTAACCAATCAAAAATAGTTATTAGAACCAGTGGAGAAAAAATATAATTTAATAACGACACACACTGCATAGTAAAAATACAAGCAATTAACGGTAGTGCCCATTACAGTCAAATTATATCTAAGAGCTATCAACAACACAGAACAAACGAGGTATATTCAAGATGATTGATCCATCAGCGGAGGTAATATGATGATGGCCATTTTTTAAGTACCAACCCATTTCTCTGGAATTTCTCTTATAGTATGAACATTACAAAACAAAACCAAATTGTTTGAGTATACACAGCATTCGATAGCGTAATCATTATATAAATAATAAGAGGATTTTTTTAGTTCCAGATAACTGTTATTTGGATGAAGAAGTTTTTCAACAACTGAATAGAATACACGTCAAGTACATCGTCGTAATTTACTTGTGGGACCCTGCTTTTCTGATGCCATCGGAAACATCTTAGAATTTTCTATGCGCAGTGTTTTGAGGTTGCTATAAGGTTAAAAATATAATTAAATACAATTGTCAATCTTCATGCACTTGCTAGAAATTAATATACATGTTGCAAGAATAATCTCATTTTTTAAACTATAAAGCTCAGAATCTTGAGGATGTTTCAGTTTTTTTGAACATATGAAAGACCAAAGAATAACACGATAATTTCTAATATACGTGAGTCCTAGGATGTCCCTTTACTGAGGTACAGTGTATGGAAGTTTCAATTTTGACGACTAGAAGAATTATATCCTCGAAGTGGGTTAAGATATTGACTTTTGACTATTGAAACTTTGAACACGTTCTACTAAAAATGTAGCTATAAAATAATTTTATGCCTTGGAAAATGTTGACTACTACAGAAGATGAAAGAAAATTATTTTGAATACCACTGACTTTTTTGAAACATTTATTGTATTTTACTGAATATTCGAATATTATAGTCCGTATGAAAAAATCTATTTTGAAAAGACACTGTTCACTGTTAGTGAAGTTTGATATTGATGATTTGTTATATTAGGAAAGTATTATTATCTCACGTACGAGGGATGTCTTTTAAGTTTTGCATATGGAAATAAAACAACACTGTAGGTAGTTTTAAATGACTTTTTCGAAGAATTCTCCACGAAGATTAATACACATCTGCATGCAAATGTGCTTGAAGGAGGTCACCGTTGGGACCGAAACGTTGTAAAATAAAGAGGAATTTTAAACATAATTATGTGGTTTGATTCGGCCACAAACATGAAGGATTATTATCCGAGAAGCTCTATGATAATTTTGTTGAGAGTTTTGACTCCATCGTTGGTATCGGAGGAAGCAGAAAAGTAAAATTCTAAATGTATATATATACTAAGGTTGCAGTCACGTAAGAATTGGGCCAGAAAGACAGTTAACCAAGTTCCGCAAAATACCTTTTGGGACAAACAGAAAAAGGAGCGCCTCAAAACCTCCGTACGTCAGTCATTCCGAACTTCCAATTTCTTCGACAAAATCTGATTAGACCAACAAATAATAAATGATATGCTTCAATACAAAAAGCAGTACAACTCTTCCTACTCCACAAATTGGTGGATTCCATATGCAAGTTTATCTCCGCCTCTAATAAGAGCAGCTTGGTTGAAGTATTGTTGTCCACGAGTTTCCGGTATCAGAAGTCGTGCGGTGCAATAATCATGGATGTCCCTGAGGTCGCGACCTCGCCGCATGCATTCACTGGTAGCATAATAGGAAAAAATCCATATCGTACCCACTGCTGCTGTCTTGTATCTAGCTCGGAATGCCTACCTCAATGCTATCGCACATGAGACCATATAACCATAAACCTACAAGGATAACTAGAATCACTGGCTGTTATCCTTGAGGATATATAATTGGACCTTGTTACTGCAAACGGAATACAAAAGACAAAGAACTAATAGCATAAAGTATCGAAAACATACCTTCTGTCACTAAACTCGAAACGGCTGGGTGGCTAAAAGAATCTATTTTCAAAGAAGTATGCAGCAGGAATTTAGAGTGACAAAAGAAAATGAGCAGCGACTTCCTCTATGACGAGAGACCTTGAGGTTATCACTGCCTGAGAATGCAAAAATGTTGTACAGTTCAATGCCCCCAAAACACAGTACTGTGCCGTGACTATGGGCAAACGTCCTAACGCTCTTGCGGTTTCGATGGATAGCCGAGTTCTACCAGAAAGCCATCCATTTCGGCTGGTCGGAGTTCAGGTCACCGAAGTCCTGATCTGACACGAACACATCCCGTCAATGGCGGCAGCTGCTGGGAAAGGGACCAGATATTCCATCGCTACGCCTACGAGCTTTGATACTCAGAGACATCTTCCATGATGCCGGCGCGCAGTGTGCCTGCCACACAGATCCGCCTGACTTCGGCGTCCCATCATAACCGAGATTGAGGAACAATCTACATGAGGAGGCTTTTCCTACTTCTACTAACCTTAGGTAGTTCAAAAATTGGAATACCAAAGTTTCTTTAAGCTCATAGCAGCCGCGGTGCCCTGGCATGCAGGCTTCTGTCTGCGCGGCTACTTCGATGTAAAAAAAAATAAATATCATCTAGCTGCAATCGGGTCACCAGCAACATACAGCAATATTTTTGTGCGGCAAACTTTCGTATTAACAGAACACCCCAAATTTTTGAATCAAATCTCCTAGGTACCATTGATACGTATAATATATAGAGCATAAGTCATTGCCAAAGCCACGATAAGTTGGGCAAAAAAATACAATTAATTGTTATAGGGAAATTGGCAAATTTTTGAGCTTAATTGAACTCTTTTCACGATAACATCAAGCTTCGGCTGTGCTCTATGGAAGCCTTCATCAGATTTGGAAACAATTGTGATTCGTAACAAGTTAATGTATTTTGTATATATATAATATATATATATGGATGTTACGTGAGAAGTAGTCATTGCCAAAGCCAATTGATAAAGAAAAAAGACTCTCAAAACGTCTATTTTTAGAAATGTCCCACATTTTCATGACAGATCATTGCATGAATAAAAAGGCTGATGTTAAGCAGCTCAGTGTCATTTATTCCTACCTGTTGAATTGCGAAAAGCTAGAACGGTTACATGTCCAAATTGATCCATCATCTTCACAAAATTAGAATACATTTTCTCACTCACATTTTTAATATAAACTCACATAACCCATCTTTTCAAGGTTGTATCAATATCACACATTCTTGCACTCATATGAACCAGACACTCTTTTCCAAAACAAGTTATTCCAGCATTTTAGTAATTTTGGGTGGAGATTTACCGAGCGTCCCTCGTATACTTCATACCCAAAGTTGGACAGGGAGGTGTATATTTCCACGGTCCGTCGCGTCAATCACTTGTCTTCTGTCGACGCTTTACCGTTCCGTGCCTTTCCCCTCTCCACGTGTAGCGGTAGTAGAAGGTTAGGGACTGCATTCCGATTGTTTCAACAAAATGTCTCCCCACGTGTAATATTTTTAGCTTGTTCGGGTTTATTGATATAATTTTTATTTTTTCTTAACTTTTAACGAAGGTATCTGTCGTTTTTAACAAGCCCAATGTCCCCGTCCTTTTGTTTTCATACTGAACACAAGTTCGATCTTCTCTACGTTCTTTCTGAAACACCTTGTGGCTGCAACCTCACCGACGAGTGAGTTGTCTGACATTTTAAATCTGTCTTCTTTGCTAGCATCACAATTGTGTTTTCATAATCCTGATGATGGCTCCATAGAGAATGCCGAAAGCTTGATTTTATCGTCAAAAGAGTCAACTTTAGCCTAAAAGTTTTGCCAATTTCCCAACTAACAAGTAATTGTATATATATATATAACTTGAGACGTGGTCATTGTCGTCTAGACCAGTTAGGTGAAAAATTATATTCGAAAACAACAATTAGCAACATCCTCACATACTACTGTAAGTTGATTCAATTTAAATTCATTTTACACTTTTGTTGCTACTGTTATCATTGTAATTGCAGCTCCTGATGATGATGGCAAAGTCCATTGAAAGCTAGAGAGAATTAAAAAAAGTATAAAGAGTCCTCTTTGCTTAAATTTTGTCGAAGTACCCAACAAAAGGCGGAAGCTTTAATTTTTCACCTAACTGGTCTAGACGACAATGACCACGTCTCAAGTTATATATATATACATGTTAATAACACACACACACATCAAAGTTCTTTAGGAGTCCAAGCGAATCATTTGTATTTTACCAAAGACAAAGTAGGAAGCTGTACCATGGAAGGCCACCTTAACAAATAAACAGTTATTGTATCTCTATTACTGAATAAATAAAACAAACAAATCATTGAGTAACACTAATGAATTAACAAAATTAAACCGACCAAAACTTCTCATGAGTCCGTTCCTTGTAAGTGCAAAATCTTCTGAATGATGCTAGGAATACATTATTGGATCAACAAGATACATTTAACATTATTTAGCAGTTCGCCTAGGAACACCAAACGATTAGGACTAGTTTATTGATAATTTGTGCGAGTTGTGTTGCTCTTGAAACAGGTCGGAATTGGACTAATTAGTACTATCATCTGAACTAGTCCATCTATATGTCTATCAGTTCTGTGATATAACTTACGCGTTCACGTATGTGGTCCAACTCGTACTGTAGCAAATCGAAGTAGACGTGCCCGGTACCGTCCCGTCCAGGAGATGATTGAACCTCATATCCCTACAGATGTAGTACTGGCTAAATAACGATATCGATACATCTACGAATGCCACACGAACATAAATCGATCGATTATTACAGCGCTAGTACTCGAAGAACGTGGTGCACACAATCACGAATTTTAGTATTGCAGATGCGATATCATAGTACCGCATTCTTGAGCGCATTTCTTTTAGATGAAACACAGACTCTGTAATGATAAAGGAATCAACTGATCTACCCTTACATCTTGAGAAAAGTAAAAAAAATTGTACTTTTATAAATTACTCAAACTGAAAATTTCGTTGTTTAGAGATGTGAAGTATTGAGAATGCCACTGGGTCTAGATTTCTTTTATTCCTTCTTTGGGAAATCTACATAAGTAATGATTCCAAGTACACAATTTTACGGTATTATAAAAAGAAACAGAGTGACAGATTTATGCAAGGAAATGACTTCCAAAATCAAGCATTATCTTGAAAATACCGATACGGGTGTTGTATATGTCAACCTAAAGTTATGTAAAAAAATTAAAGGTGAATGATAATAGTGGATACCCTTGAATACCTTTAAATAATTAGTAAACTAACGTGGATGACTCATTTTAGAAGATTTGACCACTTATGATAGTGTACTTGTATTCATTAGATATTGTAGATTTCCCGAAAAAGGTAATAAACTTTAGCGAAAGCTTGAACTAGACTTCTTCCCTGCCCAAGGCCAAGAACATTGTCCATTATTGATAGCATCCCGAATATTTCACATCTCTAGTTTCAACTAATTTGGCAACATTACACATTACTCTCTATGTAGTTTAATACATTCAGTGCTTTTCTTTAGCGTACCTCCTCCTTTTTTTGGTCATTCTTTAATCGAGTCAAAAGGCAAACTGAAATTTGAAATCATAAAGCTGATAACATAAGTATATCTTCAGTGTGATAGTCCTAGTATAGAATGTATAGAATGTTTTAAAGACAATTTTTTGTATAGAATGTTTGAAGATATGACGGATGTATTTTGAAGCTCCTTAGCTGTAACCCTAGAATATGAAGCTTACTATCTACCAAAATGGCGAACTGGCATGCTGTCAAATCTTAGCGTTTTTGTATACTGACTTTCTTATAGCTCAACAGCCCCATTCCGTTTAAAAAAAAATTCACAATATGGCGCCCAGTCACCATATTAGAACTTCTTACTGTCACTTTACACTAAATAATATATATATGAAAAAAAATTATTGGAGAGTGGGACATTAAAGAAGAGCACAGCATAGTAAACAAAAATGACAAAATTCCTAAAATATCTAGAACTCCTGGGCTCAAAGACTCCTTCCCATTTCCAACGACCTACTTGTTGTCCGCTTTAACTCGACCAACGTGCTCATGTATATCTTAATCAAACTCGCTTAAAGCAGGTGTTTTGTTTTATTTTATTCAATTAACTATAAGCAGGACCGTTTAGATGGCCAGTTAAAACTGTATTTTACGTAGCGGCAGAAAGACAAATCTGATACGCGCTCTGCAAGGATAACAGATTGAGACATTCCTACGAGTTGTCCGTTTTGCGTTGATATTGTTATCTAGAGCATACTGGAATGTACATAATTACCTTGTCCGGCAGAAAAAATGTTGCTTACAGCATGCACAATAACAGCTGTACTTTGAATGATCGGAATAAGGAAAAACGAAACGAAAGAGAACATGAATCTTAGATAAATTTATTGTGATAATTTAGGTCATAATAGAAATATAGAGCAATGAGTTCAGTCTGCTGATACTCATATTTGTATATTAATGGACCAGTTGTGTCGTTTACTGAAAATGAAAACATCAGATTTCCAATGGAATAACAAAGGACAAAAACGTACATTTGTGTCAACTAATGATTTTTGCAAACGTCAGCACGATGTAAAGATCAAGCACATGGCTATATGAAACAGTCAATATATCGCGGGGACGATACGTAACATTACCTATAATCAACGCCAAACAAAGTGGCGTGCACGTCATCACGATAAAAATTCCCCGACCTAATGCCTAGGTTTCTATCACAAACAATTGCTCTATTGCAGTTTCATATTAATGTGATATATAAATTGTAAAATGGTCATTACTCTCTTATTATGGTTAATAGTCATATAAACATTGTTATTAAAATATCACATAAGTTGCTTTCTGATAAATTTAGACGCATTATGCGAAATAAAATGTTTTGCAAACGCTCCAATCACTTATCGACATGTAAACGCACTAAACCGATTTCGCAGCGTTGACACATTGTCACCTTGAAACTTATTTAAACTGGGAACTGACATTTGTATTAATTTTGACACTGAATCAATTTGTGGCATTTCAAATCTTTATAAATCCTTTGGCTCCGCATACTGTAAATCAACAACTGTTTGTTTCAAAACAAAATTATTCATTTTACGAGTAGATAAAGGCAATTTTGGTATATAAAGATGCCCAAACAGTTAAATAGTCGGTGTAAGGAACTCGTGGCCTCGTTAATGCACTACTTTGAGCAAGAAAGGGACAACAACGGGCCTTTGTTGCCTTTAAATGCTGTTCAAGAGGTAGGTTACTAATAATTATATGTAATGTATATTAATAATAGTGAAATTTTATTTAATTTTTTGTAGCGTGTTGCTGCTGCTTTAAAAATTAGTTTAAGGACAGTTAGTCGTATTTCCGAGGGTGTGAAAAGTGATGCAAATTTAGAATCGCCCAAGAAAAAGCGGAGTTATATTAAACGTGTAACCAACACAGCGACATTGGATACAAGTGCCATTCGAGAAGTGATCTATAATATGTATCACAAAAGTAAGATCTTATTATAATAACTTATCAGAAATTTGCATTAATTTGTTAACTAAATTATAATGTCATATTACACATGGTTTCAGAAGAACAAGTTACGATACAAACTTTATGGTCTCGATTAAGAGATAGGGCATTATTTGATGGTAGTGCCACGTCTTTAAGGCGGTTGCTTAGAGATCTTGGATTTAAGTGGCTTAAGGACAATCCGCGACGAGGGCTCATGGAACTACCAAGTATAGCTTTGAAAAGGGTGGAATTTCTAAGGCAATACAATCAAGCCAAGGTTGAGGCCTTATACCAGTTTGTCTTCCTCGATGAAACTTGGATATTTCAAAATGGGACCATAAGTCGCTCTTGGCAAAATGGAAACCAAAAAAGCGTGAAAGCTATTGAAACAGATGGTCAAAGGTATGTACTTTTACACAATTTGCACTATAAAATTTAAAACTAATATATTTTAGATACATTATATTACATGCTGGAAATGAAAATGGGTTTATTGAGGGTAGTGAAGCGATATTTTCTTCGAAAACAAAATTGAGCGATTACCATGGAGAGATGAACCAGGACAATTTTTTGAAATGGTTTCAACATCAGTTATTAGAAAAATTGGAGAGTCCATCTATGATTATACTGGGTAACGCCCCTTATCACAGCATGATAATGAACAAAGTGCCCAACAATGCATGGACAAAAAAAAATATCCAAGACTGGTTGACAAATCAAAACATACCATTTTTAAACACAATGTTTAAAACAGAGCTATTGAGTATTGTTGCTCGGTACATAATGCTTCTTAATTATATATATTTTGGTCGACAGTTTATATTTCTTTTGTTTATTCCTATTCTTAAAATAACTGCTTTTTTAGAAACAAACCACCTAAAATATACGTGATTGATGAATTGGCGGAACAACATGGGCACAAAGTTCTTCGTCTGCCTCCTTACCATTGTATATTTAACCCTATTGAGTTAATTTGGGGCATAGCAAAAGGTTACTATAACAGACATATTGGTAGAGATGGTAACAGTGAAAAAGACTGTTTGGATATGTGGAACGAGGCTCTACAAACGGTTACCCCAGACATGTGGAAAAATAGTGTTCGACATACTGAGCAAGAAATTTTTAAATGGTATGAAAGAGAACGAATTTTTGATCGACCAGACATCGAACCTTTAATAATCAACTTTGAGAGTGATGAAGATTCAGATTCAGACAGCGCTGAAGAAAAAAACTCCGACTAAATTTATTGTACAGAAAAAGCTTACACCAGTAGCTTACCTAATTTTAGAATGCATTTTTCTGTATGAATTCTGTAAAATAAATACCATGCATAAAATTTGGAGGACCCCATTTGGATTTTTATTCAGTACCTTTAAGCTATCAATTAAATATGGTAGTTTCATAGTGTCATCTGAGCATAGATTTGCAAGGAAGATCAATTTAAATACTACATTTGTGTCTAGATTTTTGCAAACCAGCTTAAAGATGACCATTGAACAGCAATAATCCCGATGACGACGCCACGTAACGTTTATAGGTGAGGCAAAGTCCTTATGTTGTACAAGGCTCAACAAGAGGCCTGGCTTCTAGTAAAGACTTTCACATGTCTAAGAATCTGCTACCCCCACAAGATTATATACTAAGTGACATATAAATCCGAACACCCAGTTTAATATGGTTTTATTTAATAAAATGCTTGTATAAGTACTTAATGAAGCATATAAGTAATGATAAAAATTTCAAAATGATTGCAATGCTTAAAGCCCTTTGCCCTTAATAATGTGTGGATGCACCCTGATGTGCTACGCATTCTCCAACGCGCTAGGCATGCTTCTCATCAGGTGGTCAATGTTATCCTGTGGTATCTCATTCCAGGCAACCACCAACTCCTCTCGAAGTGCTTCTAGAGTCTGAGGAGGACGTTGCAAATTGAGCAATCTCCTACCCATCATATCCCACACGTGCTCAATTGGGGATAAGTCGGGAGATCTTGGTGGCCATGGTAACAATGTGACATCATTATGTTGAAAGAAGTCTATTGTGACTCTTGCAACATGTGATCGGGCATTATCTTGTTGGAAAGTTGGATCTGCCAGGGTGTCAAGATAGGTTAAAAGATGGGGTTCTAGAACTTCGTGGATATAACGCTGCGCGCTCATGTTACCTCTGATGAAGATTAAAAGTGACCTGGAACCATAAGCTATAGCACCCCAAACCATAACT